CCCCCCCCCCCCCCCCCCGCGAAGTATGTAAACAGGCTTCATTTGTGGCCTTCTTTGTGTTCTGAGAAAGTGGCCTTCACTCTCTCAAGCACACGCTCTCTCCACTTTGCTTCACTCGGTGCAATATGACAGTTTTCGTTTCCAAAATTTATCCCTCTTTCCCTCTTTATCTTTTTTCAATCTTCCCATCAAACAATTCAGATAACCGAGATATACTGAGTCTGGGGGAAGAGGCAGCAATTTTATGCACATTAAAAATGAAAGTATAGCACCGCACTCCAGGATTCCAGGGTCTTCCTTGAGGGCACATGGCCTCTGTCTGGAGAAAAGCTAAATTTCAAGCAACTGGAGGAAAGGTAGTGTGTGTCATTTACAGTGAAAGAAAATAGCTAAAACTCACAGATTACAAATATTTATGCTGATTTTGCATCACCCTTCCAAAAAAACCTCCCCCCAAAACCCAGGCACACTCAATTACAGGTAAATATGCCGAATATTTGAATGAAGCTCTTCCCTTACCTGAACCGAAAGACTATTTAGAAAAAGAGACCATTTGGGGCCCTGTAGTGGGTTTGAGAAGTGTCAGGTCTCATTATTACAGCTAGAGTTTGCTGTCACGGTGAGATTCTTCAGCAGAGCTAATCTCTTCAATTTAATAAAAATTATGTGACTACACCCGTCAATAATCTTACACTACATTAACCAAGATGCTGTTTCCGAGGAAAGTTGCTTCTCCTGTTCCTGCTTAATCAGCCACCAAGCTGAGAGATTCTAATCTAATGCAAACACCGAAGCTTTTATTTTTTAATACCAAGTGAGAATACACATCACCATTGTCAGATCCTAAGTGCCTGATGTGGTGGCTAAAAAATAAAATCTCAAATACCTCAATTCCTGCCTCTGGAGAGTGAAAGAACATGAATACATTAGAGGCACAGCATGGGCTGAGGAAATGTAAACATTGTTCCTATTATGGAAACGATAGTAAGACAGAAAATCTACCTTCTCTGGTCTCGGGAGACCCATTTTTCATCTACTAAATCAACTCTTTCTGGAATATGTTTAATATATTTTACTGGCAGATATCAGTGGCCCAGAATTCGAATGAAATGAAATAAAAATCTCCACCCCTTCCCAAACCACAACATGCAACCCTTAAACTTCTGCTGAAATGCTGTGTATGCCACCGCTGAGACCCAGAAGTGCAGCTCTGTCCTGGGGTTTTTCTGCTAAAATAGTTTGATTAGTGAAGCGATGGCTTTCAAACTCGGAAACCTTAGCCTGAAGAAGATAACGTTCTCTTTTTCTCTTTTCTTTCTAAACTGTTGTGACTTCACGGTTGGTTGCTGTGGAAATGATTGTTGTGTGACAAAGGGTTGCGACTTCAGGTGGGGAATAAATAGAAGCAGCAAATCTCTCTTAAGAAACAAAGATTCTGTGATTAAACAAATGCCCTTGGTAATGAAGCAATTTCACCCCAGGGGAAGTGTATGCAAGATGGGAGGGCACTGAATAATTTCCAAATGTGACACTTTTCAAATATTTCCAGATTTATCTTCATGAACTTTTAAGGGGTAGAAACTGAGGAGTGAAAAAGCAGCAGGAAATTCAGCTATAACTCACACCTTTTATGTCGTGGAGCTCCCCAAACAGTGGGTGTCTTGCATTCAAATATGTTTTAATACCTAGTCACCAAGGAATTGTGCTAATGAAAATTTCTTCCTTAAATTTCCATTTCCTTGTTGTGATGCTAAAATAGCAACTGATTTTCCTTTCAATTTTGATTGTGTATGGGGTTCTATTGAGCATCATTTTTAACCACCTACATATAATAGCACAAAAATGTACACCTGTGAATAAAATGGGTTTAATTTCCCTCATTGACTTGGTGATCTCAGTGGGGTCTAACACAGGCTTGACCCCACCGTTGTTGGTGGTTACTAGGTAAGTTTTTCATAGCAATGGGTGTTGCATGGATCCCTTCCAGGCAACCATATTTATGGGGGCTGCGTCTTCCTCATAAGTGTGTTCTTGTAGCTATCTACAATTGACTGGCGTTTTGCAACTTAAATTGCCCTCTCAGTTTAAGAGGAACATGGAAAGAATAAGTCTAGAGCAATCCATTTATTTCATTCATTGTTTAATCAGGAAATCTACAAAATTTTCAAGTTTATCCATGCTGCTTAGTTTTACTTTTAGCTCTCAAATATCCTTCTTTCATGTCTGAATGTCCTTGATTAGACAGACTCATAGAAACCACATGCACTTTCACTGGGAAAAACTCCTGTTTTTTTAGTGGATGACATTTGAGTTCAGGTTTTTGGTTGTTAACAAATCAAGCAGGGTCTGACCTTTGAGAAAAATGGTGTTTCAGACAGCACTCCCCTCCCAGGGCTCATTTTGTTATGTAAATAGTGCCCTTAAAACCCTTTCTGCATCTCTTCAGCCTTGAGATGTCTACCATGAAGCAGGTGGCTTCCCTCATCCTCTGGTGCAAATTCAGAAACCCCTGTCCAAAGTGAGAGGCAGATCGGAGATTAAGTTGAAAGTGCAGTCTTGAAGATAAGAAGTTGGAAGTTATTTTTGGAAAATAGCTTCCCAACTTAAAGCTTTCTGCTTATGTCATGAAAAAGGGCAAAGGGGCATTTGTGGAAATGATTAATCAACTTTGTGGCATTGGTCACCGTGAAGGATTGAACACACCAGACTTGTCAGAGAGGCCAGCAGTGGTACAAAAAACAGTAGAGATCTCCAAAGGCCTGGAGTCTTAGGCTTCCATTTGCTGCTGAGTGACCTTTTGGCAAGTGACTTAACATCTCTGGGCCTCAGTTTCTTCATCTGTAATGATTACATTACACACTTAATCTTAATGCCTTACTGGGTTGTTACAAGCATCAAATGAAATAATGAATAAGAAAGAGCTCAAATGTTGGAGTTTGCTGGACAAATCTGAAGGTCAAAAGAAGTCACCAACAGAGAAGTGGTGGGTTTGTGGCTCATGGAGGGTTTCAGAGTAGAGTCAGTCACAGCTGTTCCCCTGGAGTCCATTTGCTGTGGGTCTCCCGGGCAGATGGACAGACTGCTTATTTCCACTTTCAAACCTTGTGCTGTCCAAATTTTTGCCAAAGGGATGATATGTTGAGGTAACATGAGAGAATATATACCTCTGTTTCAGGGCTGCCTATTGGTCCTGAATTTTGAAATACGTAACGCAACAAAGCGGGAAGTGTTGCACAAAACACAGCGATTCTAGTTAGGCTTCTAGCGAACGACTAATCCTGCACTCAACTCCTTGAGGGCAGAGACCATATTTTATATGCATTTATAACCCTCACCATTCCCAGGGCTCTTATTTGGGTACTTAGTAAGTGATTATTAAATAAATGGATTTATAATACATTATAGAAATCTTTCTTTTCAAAACCTCTTCTTTTTTTAGATTTTTTTTTCTTTTTCTCCCAAAGCCCCCTGGTACATAGCTGTGTATTTTTAGTTGTGGGTCCTTTTAGTTGTGGCATGTGGGATGCTGCCTCAGCATGGCTTGATGAGTGGTGCCATGTCCACACCCAGGATTCGAACCGGTGAAACCCTGGGCTGCCTAAGCAGAGCACGTGAACTTAACCACTCGGCCACGGGGCCAGCCCCTATAGAGATATTTTTAAATGGACTTCTAAGCTCGGCAAGTCATCTTGGAGTGACTATAACCTTGCTTCCAAAGTCACAAAACAAGTTATGATTCCAATCATATGACAGAATATAATCATACTAACATCCATTAGATAAAAGAAATCTGTAAAGGTGCTCAGTATTTGTTCAAAATAGTAATAAGAGAAACTATTTTAAAAGTGAAAAGAAATTCATTCTGAGATAATTCCAAAGAGATGATGAGGGTAAACGGGTTATTTATTTATTTATTTTTTCTTAAAGATTGGCACCTGAGCTAACAACTGTTGCCAATCTATTTTTTTTTTTTTCTGCTTTATCTCCCCAAATCCCCCTGGTACATAGTTGTATATCTTAGTTGCAGGTCCTTCTAGTTGTGGCATGTGGGACGCTGCCTCAACGTGGCCTCATGAGTGGTGCCATGTCTGCGCCCAGGATCCGAACCAGTGAAACCCTGGGCCACTGCAGTGGAGCGCGTGAACTTAACCACTTGGCCACTGGGCCAGCCCCTAAACGGGTTATCTGTAACAAGTGAGTGCTCCAGTGGAATTGAATAATTCTAAACAAATACATCTCTGCAAAGAGCACAGGGCTGGAGCTGGATGAACATCATTGCTTCAGAGGCTGCCTGGAAACCCTGGGGGAGCAGAAGGGCCTTTGTAGGGTGGTATACTCCCTCCCCAGGGAGCCTCCCATTGTCGAGGGAGAAATCAGAGCTGGCTTCTCCACCCAGGGTGTTGAAATGCCTTCCTCTCCCAACCCCTGGGCCTTCTGCTCTCACCAAGTGAAAAGGGGGCATTAGTAATGAAAACAGTATCTGAAAAATCCTTTGCATTGATTCATTAACCGCCAGCTATTTCTCACCAGTCATGAGGTGCTAAATGGTTATTCTCTTCACCTTCCTATTGCAGGAAGCAAGGCACACGAGGGCTTAGGGAGTTCTCTGAAATCATGCCTTAAATTGGCAGAATTCAGAAAGAATAGAATCTCCATGCTTTGTTTTTTTCCTGAGGTGAGAGAATTTTCAGATGCTGGAGGGATGCTAGAGGGAGGTCTCAGAGGGACATTTTGGAGCTCTTTAGAGGTTGAAGCAATGAAAAGATTATGAACAACCCTGCCATCCAGACTCCGCAATATGTAATTCAAAAT